AGACACAAAGTGGAGTCTCCTAGAAGGCCCAGCCTGGTCCCCCAATGTTGAGGGTGCTATCCCAGTGGGCTCTGCTTTTTAGCCTCTGGCCCTGGGAGGGGTCATATATCCAGGGACACTCCTTCAGACCTCCAGGTCAAATCTGTATCTCTTTCCCCACCCACCATCTTCTTTTCCTGTTTCAATGAAAGCATCCATCTCTCCAGGGCTTGAAAAAAAAGCCGGCCTCTTCCTTCAAAAACCAACTTCATTCCTCCTTTTCCTACACCCTCCTTCCATCATTTCCACTGCTAAAGACCTTTTGGGTCTACCTCCAGAATATAGGACACCCCCATGTCTGTCCCTCCCCGCTCTGCCCATGGCTCCAAGCGACGCTCATCTGCCCTAGATTAACAGCCTCGGAACAGGTCTCCCCATTCCACCCTTTCTAGCCCTCTCTCTCCACTGCCCTGGGACCACTCATTAATAATCCTTTGAGAATGGGCATCATGAAAACCCCCACTGGGAGCAGGAGTGGCGCTCTCACTCAGCTGGCCTTCCCAGCCCCTCTCCACGGGTGCTCCATGTGAGCTCTGGCAGGAGTGCCCACCCCCCAGAGGAGCTGGGGCCCAGAGACACCAAGAGAAGGATGCACTGGGTGAGCCAGGGAAGTGTTAAGGAGGCTTTCTACCCACCACTTGCAGAGGGTGAAGCTTCTGGAAGAACTGGGCTGAGGTCCCAGGGCTGCTGTCAACCTCAGGATCCACAGAGAACTCACAGCAAGTCCTATCTGTCCTCTCCTGTCACCTCCGTGTTCACTGTGAGAGCTGGTACCTTCAAGTTCAGGACAGACTCAGCCTAACAACACAAACACCCTCTGCATGAACAGACAGTTTGGATCTTGACTTAATGAGCCCAGGGCCCCAATATCTGTTAGGGGTTGAGGAGACTGCAGATGTTTCTCTAGAAAGCACTGGGGTTTCTGGCCAGCTCTAGGGTCCCATGAGCCAGAAGGGCCAGTGGATGAACATTAATGCAGCTAAAGCATATACCTAGAACAAAGAAAGCTTTGTGCTGGGGGAGGGGGGTGGAGAGGCGGGGGTCGTCGGGCCTGCATAATGCCCTCGGTTCTGGATCAAGCTAGAGATCAGAGGCTTGGCCAACTGCTTATGGTAAAATAACAGAGATCTGATGAAAAGTTCTGCACCTGCTGAGCACTTCCTATGGGCCAGCTGTGTCCTCTCCTGTGACCATTTCATGAGGGAGGCACGGTTACTGTCCTGTGTCACAGATGGGTGGTTAGTGGTGGCAATGCCAACTTTCCAAGTCCTGCACCCTTGGCAGAGACTAGAATTAGCTGAGTGTGGCTCCAGGGCAGAATTAGGACCCAAATTTAGAGCCACCATAAGACTGAAGTGGAGCGGACCCTCCCTGGTGGCGCAATGGGATAGGACACAGCACTGCAAGTAGCTGCAGTTGCTTCTGCGTGAGTTCAATCCCTGGCGCTGGAGGTGACCCACATGGTGCAGCAGACACCTCTCTGACCTGCCTGCTGCTCCCCTCAGCAGTGTACTTCGTGGATCTGCCTGTTCTGCTCCCCACTCTGTCTCTGGTGAAGCCAGTCACGTTGCCTATACCCCAGTTCTGCATGCATACATAAGTCTTAAAAAAAAAAAAAAGAATGAAGTGGAGGGAGGCTTGTGTGGTAGCAACAACCCAGCCCATGATATAGGGGTGTCATGTCTAGAACAAAAAAGGCTTTGTGCTGAAGGGAGGTAAGGGTCAGGCCTGCATAATGTCCTCAGTTCTGGATCAAGCTAGAGAGCAGAAACCTTGGTAAATATCTCCAGGAATCCCTCCCACAGGATGGATCCTGTGGATTCTGTCCCGGACTCTGATTTGCAGAGGTAGCTCCCAGAAGACCCACACACACAGACCCCCGCGACCCTCCCCTCCCCCGTCCCACCAGTCGTCCCTGCCTCAGCATTCCTCAACTCAGCCTCCACAACCTCCCTGGAGATGCAGGGGTCCCCCATCAACTCCCTTTACCTCAGAGTGTGACTCCCCTTGAAAGCATCTATCAGACAGCACCCTCCAGTTCTGAGAGGGCCTGCCCTGGTCTGAGTGGGCCTCTCTTCAGTTTGAGACGGCCGCCTGGAGAGGGCAGCTGGGGCGTAACAAGCCCGGCCTCATCCTGCACACCCCTCTAGAGAATGGGCTCCATTCTGAGGCACTGAGAGTGTTAGAGAAGCAGAGCTGACAGGGGAAGTTGGCAGGCCCTGGGGGAGCACAGGTCCGCCTTGGAGTTAACCAGGCAGGCAGTAGCTGAAATTTCAAAGGGCTCTTGAGTGGGAACTCTGGCATGTGGCCCCCAGTGGAGGGCACCCTCTGCAGGGCACAAACAGCACCCTTCCCCGGCCACCCACCCTCAAGAACTGAGCCCCTTCAGGCCAGGCTGGGGAGCTGAGGGGAGTGGGAGGTGGTACACACGACTGGCATCCTGCCCCAGCTCAAGCCGCTAATTAACTTCATGACCCAAGGAGAGTCACCTCACCCCCTGGCCTGCTTCCTCCTGTGCAGTGGCGATAACATCCTGCCCAGGGAGGCTGAAAGAGATAAATGGCCCTGCACAGGGCTGCCTGTGTTTACATGGACCTGAAGTGCTGTCATTACCCAGGGTGGGCTTGGGGAGGGCCCCTCCTGGTCTGACCTGAAATGTCACTCCCAGACAGGATGCTGGCTCCTCTCCCTTCCTGAGGGCAGCCCTGGGGGTGGGCAGGACCTGTTTCTAAAGGAGAGAACTGAGCACTCAGCAAACATGCGTAGATGCTGGCGCTGATGTCTGGGTGATAACGTGGATGGAAAAGGATCCCCTCTGCACGCCTCGCCCTGATGGCAGCAGTCAGTTCCAACACAGCAGCAGCAGCAGGAGTCTTTCTGGGCATCCCTCCCACCCGCCCTGCCCGCCAGGATGGCCATCCCGTCATATCCAGCAGTGATGTTTGTTCTCTTCTTTCAAGCAGATAGGGACTGTACTGAATTTGCACGTCACTGGGTAAGATGGCTTTTTTAACACATTAATACTTCCAAACCCACAAGGAAGGAATATATTTCCATTCCTTTGTGTCTTTTTCATTTTCCTTCTGCCAAAGGAAAATTCCTGCAGTGGACCTCAGCTGTCTAAGGCAGTGACCTGGGAGGGGGCAGTGAAGGCTGGTGGTCACCCTGCGATGGCAGCCAACTCCTGGAACATGTCGCCTGGCCACACCCCTGCCCCTAAAATCTCACACCGAAGCAATTGCAACATGGTCTACAACACACTCTGGGAGCCAGGGGTTTGACCAGAGCTGGCCACCCCAGAAAAAAAAGGCAAACAGTTCCTTCTTGTATTGTTCAGTGAAGGCGCAGCAAGTTTGAGCTCTCAGGCACTGAAAGGTGACTTCCAGTTTTTTTTTCACTCAAACAGGGGGCCGTTAACCCAGTTTGTCCAGATCTGTCTACCTTCCAAAAAGGTGCCATGTTCATTACCTCCTAGGTCACGCCTCACAACCAGCATCCTGTGTTTTCCAGCTGCAAAAACTGCCTTTTGGGATAACCAAAGGCTAAGAGAGAGAAGACAGTAGCTGTCAAGAGTTCTTTCACTCAGGCCAGGCCTCTGGTTCCCCTGACAATGCCTGTTCACGTGTAAGGAACCCGAGCAAACCCATGAGTCGCCCGCCCAGCCAGGACCCCAGGGTCTGGTCCTGGCATGCTGTACCTGCCCGGCCACCCCCACCTCGGCTCTTTTACTTGGACAGACCCTCTCTTGCCTCGGGAGACAAGAATAAGGGGCAGGCGTAGAGTAAAAGGACAGAGAGAGAGGAGAGCAGAAATGAGCTGAAGACAAAGGACTGCATTTCCCCAGTGCAGTGTGGGAAAAGGCGGGATGAATCGTCTGCAGCCGAGCACCCTGTCCAGATCCGAGAGACATACAGAAGAGAAGGGTTTGGTGCCAGCTCTGGGTTGCAGCAGCTGCACCCTGGGCCCTGCTGGTCCCAGGGAAGAGGCCTCGCCCATATCCTGTTTTGTGCAATCTGTGCCCATTGCACTGACAGATACCCAGATAGGCTCTGGATGGTGGCCAATCTAGTCCCCATGCAAGGGTGAGGGTGCTTCCAGAAGTGAGGCTCTGGTGTTCCGCACAGGAGGGGAGGGAGCCAGGTGGGGCGAGGCCTGCTTCCCCGGTGACGGTGACTACAGGTCTGCTGCCTCCACAGGTCAGGGGACCAGGCTGTGCGCAGTCCCAGAGGTTTGCCCTAGGCTTCGGACAAATCCTGTTTCCACTCCTCTCCTAACCTTCGCTTATCACACTGGGTTAAGGTTTGAAATGGAAGTGGAGTCCTGCAGGAAGGGAGGCCAGCAGGAAGGCAAGAGGGAAGAGACTGACGGGGAGGAGAGGGGAGGCTCAAGGCTCAGCAGCAGCCCCGGATGGGGGGGCTTCAGCCCCCCGGATGGGCACCACACCAGCATGGCTGTCACCTCCCACAGCCTGTGGTAGTAGGGGTGCCTGGAGAGTCCACTCCTGGGGGCAGTTTTTTCCTTTTGCTATTTCTGGGCGTTTAAGGGTTCTAGCCTTGGCTGATCAAAGCTGGGGTGTTTCCAAAGGAGGAGCCAGGGTGCAGAGGGAGCGGCACCCAGCCACCCAGGAGAGCTGCCTGGTGGCGGAGTCAGGGAGGGGCTCCAGACAATCTGGTGCATGACCCCTGTCCCAGACCCGCCACCACCCTCAGAGACTCGGGGTTTTGTCTCGCCAGGGCAGCGCTCCCTCAACCCCCTCTTCTCCTCCAGGACGCCAGCTGTCCAGTCTCTTTACATGGACAGAGTGACCTCAAGTTCTGAGCCAGGGCTTGAAATGCCATGGACTTGTCACGACCACCACGACTTCTCGAGCCGAAGCTCCTACTTCTACTAGGCTACCTTACCCCCACCGCGCCCGAACCATGCCAGGGGCGTCCCTAAGAATCTGACATCACCCATCAAGCCAGAATTTAAAAATAATTATATTAATAATAAATATGTTAAGTTACATTTAAAACAATAAATAGAAAAATAAACTGATAAATAAAATCAACAGGTACAAAATGTTTCAAAATTTCAACCAAAAAAAACACACAGACAGACAAGACAATGGACGCTCGGAGGGCGCTAAATGCAATCACACGGCCCCTCACAGTCCCTCACAGGCGACGTGGGCTCCCTCCCGGCCGGCCACTTCTCTCCTCTTGGAGGCCAGGAGACTCTGGCTGCCCCCTCTGGGACCTGGCCGGCGCGGGGAAGCCTCGGTCCCACCTCAGTGCCCTCCTGCGAAGCAACCCTGCGCCCTGGGGTGCGTGGGTCCAGAGCGGAGCGAGGCGGAGCTGGGCCGCGGGGGAGGCGGGACGTCCCTACAGAGGCAGGTCGGTGCTGTTGTGCCGGGTTTTCCTGGCAGTGCCATCATCTCGGGGCAGAGCCCTCTGCAGATTGGACATGGCCACGGTCTTTTTGAGGTCAATCACGGCGTAGGAGTCTGAGCTGCGGGCAGGGTGGGCGGTGGGCACGGGGGCTTGGGGAGCTGAAGGGTTCTGGGGCCCCTTGGGGCGGTCTCCACCCCAGCCCTTCAGCTCCACCTGGATGTAGTTGAGCTGCCTTGGGGGCTCGGGGCCAGGCCGGCGGAAATCGAAGTTGAAGACACGAGGGGAGGCTCGGCGGCGGTTCAGCGGCACAGGGAAGCTGCCGTGGCTGCGGAGAGCAGCCCGGGTGCTGGTGGGCTTCTGCAGCGGGGTCTCGTCTTCCTCGCCGTCCGGAAAGCCATTGGAGGAGGGCGTGAGCCCATCCCTGGAGTCCCCATCACCCGCGGCCTCCTCCCCCAGCTGCTGGGCTTGGCTCTCCCACACTGGGGGCAGGGAGGGCAGGTTCTCATAGTGCAGCAGGGCAGCCCGGCGGTGGGCAAGGCCACTCCAGCCCGGTTCCTCCGGGCTCAGTCTCCAGCCGGGCCCTCGCCTCAGCCCTCCGCTGACGTTCTCATAGGTGCACTTGGGCTGGGCTGGGCACTCAGAGGGGCCCTCATTGTTATTGTTGTGGGGTGGGGGGTCATGCAGGCTGGGGCAGAGGCCCTGGCACTTCATCACGTGCCTCCGCGCAGGGGTTGGGCCCAACACGAACTTCACCTGGCCTGGCTGCAAGAACACCTGCGGGTCCCGCTGGCCGGGGGCCCGGGTCTGCGAGGGGAAGGGCGCCCGCCCTTCAGGCAGGGGCTGTAGGCAGTGCCGGCTCCGGCGGTGGGCTTCCTCATTGGCCGGCGTGTTGACATAGGTGTGGGACTGTGGGAAAGAGCCCCAGTGAAGCAGGAGCATCCAGAGCAGGACAGAGAACAGAAGGGACAGGGTGAGAGAGGAGACATGAAAAGAACCTGTTTCCTGTCTTCCAAACCTCTGGGGAGGGGCCGGGAGGGAGCCTGCTGGCATCCTCGCCTCCCACACTCCTCACAGGGAAGAGTTGACACATTTCCTGAACCCCTAACCCCACTCAGACTGACAGGGAGGGACAGGGCAGCTGCCTCCTCACCTGCTCATCAGGGGCAATAAGGGCATGGGTGGACTCTTCCCCAAACGAGGGGTGTCGCAGGCTGCTGGTTGAGGGGCGCCGGGGAGCTGAGAATCGTGGGCCCTCTCCCGGGCAGCCGGGGAAGCCATTGGAGAAGCTGGAGACAGTGTAGCCTAGAGCTGTCACAGAAGAGGAGACCGGTGAGCAGTACTGAAGCCACCGACCCCTGGCGCTACTGCAACCAAAAGAGCGATGCTTCCAGGTCCCCTAGGTGAGGAGTCCCCCGTGAACCACAGCCCCCCATCATTCACCTTCTGTTCTTCGAGCCCTGCCTTTCTGCGTGAAGCCCACCTCACCCATTACAGTCGACCTGAAGCCCCGACCGCACACTCTCATTCTAGCTTGCCTGCGAGCTCCCAGGAAGCTCCTTGAAATCAGGGACCATTTCTATTTCTTCTGCCCCTGTGGGCCACGGGTGGAGAATGCAGAGCAGGCCCCAAGTATGGACTCGGTGAATGAACAAGCAGAAACTGTGGGAAGCTCCGCGGAAGCTATCGTAGGCAGAGATGTGTGCACTGGCAGTCAGGAAAGGTACTTGGGTGTGACCCAGCAGACTGGGAAGGAAGTAAAACAGCTCCAGACTGCAGTTTCCATGGAAACCCAATGTCTGCCTGTCTGCTCCCCGACAACCAGTCGATACAAGGTCCGGGATTCCCCTTGCCTCAGCTTGTGTCACCTAATCGGAGCAGGCCAGGACTTATCTACCCCTAAGAGGGGCTCAGGCCTGGACAATGATCGTGGAAGGCCAATTCAGCCATCGAGCCCACCTGCCTGCCTGCTTTGTGCCTCCAAGGGTGGTGCCGCCTGGGTCTGTGTGGTGTGTGGGGCATGTGTGTGCGTCTCGCGTGCTGAAGACGGGCATCCTCACCGTTGGGAGGCTGGGGGGCCCTGGGGAGCTCGAGCTCAGCCGGGTGGCTGTTGCGGGTGATGATGACCGGCTCTTCCATCACATTGATGCTGTTGCACTGCATCAGGTCCTGCAGGAGGTTGAAGATTTCCTCAGCCCGGGAGCACTTGAAGGCAAATATCCCTGAAGAGGAGGAGGGAAGGTGATGCTGAAGAGGGAAGGTGATGCTGAAGAGAGAAGCTCAGAGCTCAGAAATGTGGCTGAACTCCAGTTTCAGGCCTGCAGGGGGCGGGAGAGTCCCTCTCACCCAGAGCACTCACCCCAAGAGCTACTGGAGATGATGGGCCAAGGTCCTCCACCCAGCCACATAGTCCCATGAGCCAAGGCTCCAGCTATATTCCTCTGGCGCTAAATCACTTCCATCAGGATGTGTGTGTACAGGGGAGAGGGGAGGAGAGTGAGAGTCCAGTGGAAAGGACAGTGTTAGGTGAAGGACAGCTCCCGCTCACATGCTGTCCCCATCCTCCTTTGCATACCCTCCACTCCCCAGAACAATGAGCACCGCAGGACACCAGCCTTGTGCTCTATGACCCACAACCTCTAGGCTCCTGGAGGGCAGGCGCCTCTATCCTGGTCACCGCTTGTCCACTGAGGACTTAGCCCGGTATACCTGGCCAGAGAGCGAATGTCTACTGTGTACAGGCCCCTGAGGTCATATGGCGCGTTGACTCTGGGGCAGAAAGGAAGGATGGGTTGATGAGCTGAAGGAAAAATACGGTAAGACAACCATGTGACTCCTCAAAGCAGCCAGCTTTACAGCCCCTCAAACTCTAATGCACTCAAAGTCCCAGGGTAGCAGGATGGGGATAAACACCGTGACTCAGAGGCGTGGGGCCAGCCTGGAGTTCTGCACCCCTCTACCAGAGGTCCAGGACTCGGCCGAGGCTCCCTGCGGCATGTAAGTGCATACACCCAAAACAAAGGTCACTAACACTAGGTCAGGGCATGGGACGGCTGGGGTTTACAGCAATGCAATAGGAGGAAGAAAGAGGAAGAGAAATTATTCTGGCAAGATATGTCAAGGGCTAGAACAAGCTGGGAAAAGTCTTGGAAGAACCCAGCCAAGCATAGATCAAGCATCGCAGGGCAGAACTCTCCTCCTGCACTCTCCCTGCTCAGCCAGCATTAGCTGCCTTGCCTCAGGGCTCCAAAAGTGAGAGGCGCAGAGGGGCAGCTCCTTCACCACCACCTCAGAGCCCCCTGGCCAGGGCAGCTCTCACTCCACCTCTAAGTTCAAGCCCCAGACGACACTGACCACAACCCTGTGTGGCTCTCTTCAGCACAGCTCAGGTATGGGCGCTAAAAGATAAGATCAGCCCAGCCCAGCCCAGTCCAGGCCACTCTTTCAAAGAGCTCTAGCCTTGGCCTCATGGAACTTCTGGTTACAGACAGAAAAGGGAAGAAAGAGAAAACATTATACTCTCTTGCCCGCAGAGAAGAGAACAAACACTTGTCCCTAAAGGAGCACTCGATCTACTTATGAGGGACCCAACAGTCCTGCCCACTCCCCCAAATCATGCTGCCCCAAGGCTACCAGAATCTCCTGCCTGACCTTTCATTATTCAGCGGGTGGAGGCTCAAAAGAAAGTTTGCTCCCAATTAGGGGGCAACAGTCACCCATCAAGCTGGAGGAATCTCTGGTCTTCCGAGGCAGGCTCTGGCCTGAGAACAATGGTTCCTTCCAAGAGCTCAGCACCAATATTCCACAAAGGATATTCTTCCACAAAGGAGGACCTAGTCCTCCTGCAATGACTGGAGAGAAATGCCCTGGGAGCCCAGTTACTTCTGCGTTAACGTGCCATGGGCAACACCTGCCACGTCGATAGACGCCCCAGAGCCCTCTGAGAGGACTTCCAGCATCAGCACCTGGGTGGTGAGTCAGGGCCGGTACTTACCCTGGCCCGTCTGACACCGGCGGCCGCTCTCAAAGGAGAAGAGGTTGGAGTCGTACCCATAGCGCCGCAGGCAGAGGTAGGGCCAGCAGACGGCCTCACGCCGCTGCAGGTGCAGCACCAGCTCACTCTGCGTCAGCTCCATCACTCCAGAGCCCAGCTCCACCCCCTCGTCATCCACATTTGTCACCTGGGTGGGGGGCAGGGCGGAGACACAAGGGTGAGTGGCACGTCCAGTACAGGCAGGTCTGGGCGGCTGAGCCACAAGGGGGACTGAGCCAACACAGAGCTACAACCGGGGCCCGGGGTCTCATCTGACTCTGCCACGGACTCTATAGACGGGGACACAGGTGAAATTATGCCAGTGACCCCCGACATTTCTTTAGGCCTCAGTCCTGTCATTTGAGCAGTGAGTGAAGTTGGCTAGTTGACCTCCAAGGTCAGATGGTTAATGACCAAGGTTCGGTGACCCTGGCCGCCCATGACTAAGTATCCAAGCACCAGATTTTAATGGGAGAAGATGGTCGATTTTAAGTTCAGTATCTTAAGATAATGAGAGGAAAACCCGCGGACAACCAACAGGTAACTGCTGCCACCACTTCCCCAAGTCACCTTGTGCCGGGCTCCCTCTTCTGGTGAGCAGAAGTGTGTGCCTCAACTACTGGGCACTGTATCCCCCTACAGGGAGGTGGGAGGGGCCAGGTCCATTAGGCCGCAGGTCCATTAGGCCTGCCTGGCCCAAGCGGTCCAAAGCAAACACTAACGCTCTATAGTGCTGACCATATGTTAAACTCTGTTTTAAATACTTCACATACATGTAAATTCCTATGTTTTCTTAAAAATAATCCCACATAAGGATACAAAGACACACTGACAGGACAATCATTCTGGAAGCAGTTTTGCTACTGCATTACTGTGCTTCTTCACCCTCAGTAGGACCAAGAGCCAAACAAACGGCAGTGGCCTTCCCAGGCCACTTCGCCTCAGGCCACCTCAGCGCCCCTGAGCACAAGAAATCGTAATGAATCGACACTCTTCAGTCTCATCTTGACAGAGGGTCATGCCCCCAACAGCTCAGGGCTGGAGTCCAGGAGGCCATGCTGGAAAGTGGGGGGAGAGAGAGCCATGAGTACCTTGAACTTGGTGGGGTGGTTGTCTGGGATGCTGTCTCTATTCAGGCAGCTGCAGCAGCTCCCCATGGTGTCAGAGCAGACAGCTTACCCTAGGAAAAACACAAGGAACAAGGCAATCATCCAAGTCAACGCCCAAAAGCCGCTGCTCTGAAGAACTCCAGCAGAACCCCCATTGTGATCACCTGTTATCCAAGGATTGTCTGACACAGTCCTAACCTCAGGGAACCAATACTCAATCCAGGATCACACACACACTGGATAAACATTAATTCAAGCGGGATGTGTTACAAGATTGATGCTGACGGGGTGGAGACAGCCTCTTGAGGTAACATTCATGTGGAACTTGAGAAATGTGTGGATTTTGACCAGATGTAGACAGGGAGGGGAAGACTGGGCAGCAGGAGAAGCAGGGGGTGAACGTCTGTGATTTACCGATGGAGTGGATGGCAGCTTGGGCCCTCACCCAGAGTCAGCAAAGAAACAGTAACTTGGGGGACCAGAAACCTTGCTTTTCCTTTTCTGCCTTGCCCTTCCCCCATTGTCTAAGACCTCTCTTGAACTCCCTCACCATGGTGCCAATATCCGCCTCAAATTTACCTTTTGATAGCTCTTCAAATGAGGTGTTACATTACAGCTAAAAGCTACATTAAAAAAATTAGATGTTTACAATACAATTTGTATAAACTTGATTAGATAATTCATCAAAGAAATAAGCACAAGGCTTATTCTTCTATGTCCAAAGGGTTGACCAGGGGCCTGAAGTCTTTGGCTTTTCCCTTTAGGACCATGGCCCTTAATGATAGACAGCCTCTGCTTAAGTTGGACATGTGTAAGTGACCTAAGGAAGCAAGCGAGCAGTTGAACTCATCACAGCCAGAAGTTAAAGTGTTGCATCTTGCTGCAAGAAATAAGTTTTAAGATTAGACATCCCTAGAGAATATCTAACTGAAGGTACAAAGCCTTAAACAATTGGGAACTCCAGAAAATGGGATACATAGCTCTCACCTCACCCAGGCCATCGGGGAGCTGACCATGGGAGGGGCATGGGGAATGACCCCCACTTACTCTCCCCGTTCTTGGTGGGGCATGATGACAAGCAGGCTACAGAGAAGTCACGTGGATCCCTCTGGGACACACCCAGGGCTCACCTAGCACAGGAGACAAAGACCAGAGGTTAGTGGAAACCTTTCATCCTTACTCCCAATTGTTCATGAACTGACCTGCTGTTAGCCCACCCCACCTAGATTTGTTCTAGGTCCTAATGGGACAGAATCACCAATAAAGCAAGTGAGTCTCGAGCAAAGGGACCACAAATTTCCAACCCTGGAGGCCCTGAGAGGGAGAGACTGCCCCTGGCACTTGAGCCAGTCCAAGCCCTTTCAAGTGACTTCTGAAGACCCCCTCTGAATCCCGCTGTACCACCAAAAACACTATCTTACTTTTTCAGAGAACTTGAACTCTACAAAGAGTTTTCTCAAAAGGATACTGTGATGTATTGGAGAGGGCACTGAGCTTAAGAGTTTAAGATTTTGGAAACCAGTATTTTCTTCTTTTTGTTACTAAGTATCTAGGTGACACTGTAAAGTAAACCACCCCTCCCCAACCCCCCAAGTCCTACCCCCAGGTCTTAGTTTTTAAGGGAAATATCTAAACTGTGAAGCTTTTTAAGCTTAAGTAACCAGCAGAAGTTAGGTACGTAGGGCAAAACGACTAAAATCGACATTCTCCTCTTTAGGGACAGGCTCCTTTAATCTCTCATTTGGAAGCTTGAGATTTTGGAGTCTCCAAATTCAGAAAGGCCTGAAATGTTAATTAAAATGCTACTAATAAACCGAAATTTCAGGGATCTGAGCCCTAGGTGGACCAGTTTGAAAGTCAGAGCCCTCTGGAGACCTCTCAAAGTTCCCCTTTCTGCTGTGGAAAACCCTACCATATCCCAGGGCCCAAGGCCTCTGCATTCTAGGGCAACTCCCCTGGTGAAAGGATTTGCATCGTTTTGATGTGGTCTATTCTCTGGAAGGAGAAAGCAGCCTATGGGAGGTGTACCGGCCTACGGACAGGTGCCTGGGGAAAGACTGGAGCAGGAGACAAAATGGGAGTTTGGGGGTAAAGCCAAAAAATGTAGGGTGCAAGATGGGGGAGGGGCCTGCACCTTTTTGTCTCCCAGCTTTTTAATCAGGACCTATCACGACAGCCCGATGAGGGGAATTTACATTGGGCAGCACTGAAGGAGGGGGGTTTAATGGGGGGCAGGGGGCGGTTAGAGGGGTTTATGGGGGCTCAAAATGTGAGTGGGCCTGGGAAAACGTGGGCAAGTTTTCTGCATGTGATCATGGTGCAGAGAGAATGCGAGTAGGAAGGACAGAGGAATTTCAGGGTGGTGGAAGCATCTGGGGGACTCCCGGGAGAATGGTGACGCTGGGCGTCATCAGGGGGGTTCGCAGAAAAAATACAGGAGTTGTGAGGGCTCCAGACCTGCGAAGGTGTGCCCAAGGGGGTGGGGGCTGGGGTGGCTCTGGGGAGTGAGGCAGCTTTAGGTAACAGGGCTGTCGGGGGGATTTGCAGACACAGGTAAGAGCCGGGGAGGTCCTGGCCGCGCGCACTCCTCGATCCCCGCCCCCAGCCCG